TACATATACATATACATATACATATACATATACATATACATATACATATACATATACATATACATATACATATACATATATATGGCTATCAGGATTCTTCTCCAGTGGTTAATACACACAAGTGTCTACGTTGCCAGTAATAGACATGAAGGAGGCACTACCTAACTCCTTGCACCCAAGCCAAAAAGTCTCTCTGGTCTTAGAGACTTTTGCTCCATGTCTTGACAACCTTGATAGATACTAACATCCACCATTCATTCAACAAAGCTCAGCACCAGATTCCCCACTAAGTGCTTCCTTGATATGCACTGAAATCCAAACCAAACTTAGGAGGTCAGTGTGGCTATTCCTTTTTCATGCCAGAAGAGTGCAGCTTTAATAACTTGCCCAGAATCAACCAGTGAAGTGATGGGGTAAAGAGATTCAAACCCAAGGAATCCCGAAACTTAATTCTTTAAGTCTGAATTTTACCTCCAGGCTCTATCAATCTCTATAGAAAGAAAAAAGCCCTTAAATACAGAATCCTCTTGACAGGGACACTAACTGACCAGGTCAAGGAAAGGGCCCTGGTTAAATGCGTGTCCACAGAAAAGGTCTCGACAAATCAGAACAGAAAAAAAACTACCTGGAAGTCACCAAGACCCTACTCCACATCAAATCAAAATTTTCTACAAAATCAGGACTTTGTAAAGTGTAGGGCCAAAATTATTTTACTATTCTCGAGTCTAGACTTGTTTATCAGATTCACAAGGCAAGTCAAAAGACAACTGATGTAGACAATAACTTTACTTCAGGGTTTAAGTTCACAAGTTATGGAATCAGACAATGTGTGCTTGTACACATTTAATTGCTGTGTAGCCCTCACCAGGTTACTGACCTCTCTGATATTTACTTTCCTCCTTTATAACAATAACCTAGTTGAACTGTGGCAATCCCTGGAGGCCAGTTTTAGTGCCTTAACACATAAACTTAAGTCCAACAATCTGTCAATACTAATTAAAAATAAAACCATCAAATTCTGGACCTAGAAGAGGCTGAAAAAATCAACTAAATATTACTTAAATAATAACGTGTCTACTTTATGTCTTTATTTTTAAAACACTGGCTTTACAGTGGTGACAAGAATCATATGGAGAAAAATAATACACAAGCACAAATATATAGGTATTCAATACACCAAACACTTAATGACAATGGAATGCCTGAAATCTGGGGAGTCAATATTCAACTCTACCCTCTTTATTTTAAGAGGTTACACAATCAGTTCAATTAGTGATGAGTAGCAATAGAAGAGTTAGCAGTAGAAACGATGTAGAGATTAGAAAACCTAATGTTCCATCAGTCTCCTCCCCAAGTGATAGGCTGTTCCAGTGCACCACATAACAAATAATATTTGAACCCTATTACTTATACCCAGAAAACTCTTCTGAACCCCTTCACTCTCCAGCAAAATAGTATTAAACAAATTGCCTATCATTCAAATGAACCCTCCTAAGATTTAAGGTCAGCATACAAAATTCAAGTCCAAATTCCAGCAGGGATGGCCCAGAGGATTCACTCTGGGCAAGCAGCATGGGGCAGAATTAGGAGTTCTGCATAGCTGTGCACTCCATCTCTGGCTCAGATCATGTGAGGGTTCAAAACTAAGAACTGCTAGAGATGTGTAGCTCTGGAGTAATGATTCACCCAAGATTGTTTTCTCATTTGTAAAATGAATAAGGGACATAAGATAATTCCTGGGTGAAGCAGTGCCCATCCTCAGTGCCCCACACACAGCAGGTACTCCAAACATTAGCTGAATAAAGCAAAGGCCCAATAAAAATCATCCTGAGATTGAAACAAAATTCATGATCCCTACCTATAAGTGAGCCCCTAACTTAATTCAAACCAGAGATGTGATTACTTAACCAAGGATGTCCCTTTATCACTGACAAAAAAAATATGTTCTTGTATTTTAGGTCCCAGACTCTAGAAAGCCGGCCTCTGAGAAGACTCTACACATCACAGTTCTGTGTCACCCCCAAAAGATTGGCACTCATAGCCCTGGGGTTCCAACATCTTTCCTCTTCATTTTTCTTTTAGAAACAATAAGCTCATAAAATGACACCACAGGCAGTTGGCTTCTGTAAATCTTTTAAGAGGCCTGGAGACAAGTCTCACAGTTAGGACCTTCCTCTGAAGCCTTACTTAGAGAAAAGCAACAAGCAAAGTAGTCGAAGTCAATTCACTATCTGTCCTCATTCCTGATTCTGAAAACTAAGACAGACTGAACTATTTAAAATAGGTAAGCTGAAAAGGCAACCCAAAAATGCCTTCACAATCCAAGGTGCTCATTCCCTGAGCAGGTTAACTGACCAGAAGAAATTCTCTAGTTCTGCAAAAGCTAAGGGAAAGCCATTCACCAGAACGCAAATTTCATGTCTCTCCAAGAAAACGGGAAATAAGCAAACGTTCGAAAATTTTAAAGTATGAGTTTAAACTTCTCAGCGGACAGATGACATTGCTTCCAGACTGGCCTTTTCAAGGATAATAGGCGAGGGGAAAAGGAGAGCAAGGGAGACAGAGAAGGAGAGAGTCAGGATATGTTCGTTCTATTTTTAAACCTTCGCCCACAGTTTAGAGTAAAAGAACACTCTGATTCTATACTCCCACCCCTATCACCTTCTGCTAAACTCAAGAATCAGAACCTGCACACGTACCTCATCCTGATTCTAGATTTGGGGATTACTGACTGCCATACTCCAAAGAGCAGAGGGCGAACCTAACCAACCACTTCACCCAACCCTTTTCTGGGCAGTGCCTGTGCCTTTCGGAGAACCCCGCCGCGCTGAGCCCTATGGAGCTTCGTGCCCGGAGCTAAGCAGGCACAATTCGCCTTTTCTCGAGGAGAGGCAGCGCCCCCTTGGCCAGGCACAATCCATTCCCACGGCTGGGCACCCAGGGGTGAGCAACTTTTTCCCCAGAGGAACCCGAATCGTGGATGCTCAGGGGTTCCCCACAGGCATTAGCGTTCCACTCCTGGGACACCTGTGTACCGCGCACCCCCACCGCCGTGGCCCGATCACCACTCACGTTCGGTCACCTCCCAGCCATCCCGAGTCGCTAATAGCTAAGCGACAGGTCTCTTTCTTCTTCATACTATTGCTGGCTCGCCCATTTTACATAGCCCTTCCCGCCTCATTACCAGCATCTACAGCTGTCCCTCAGCGCCCCGGGAGCTAAAAAACCGCCAGCGCAGAGCTCCCGCCCGGAATCCCCAGCCCGGCCGGGCAGGGGGCACTCACTTTTGAGTGCGGTGATGAGTGACTTCCCGTCCTTGATGAGCTCCTTGATAAATTTATTAGTCTTGTCCAGCTCCGCTTCGTGCGACTTGAGAGTCTCTCGGAAGTGCGGGCTGTCGAGGCAGCAGTCGCTAAATTCGAGCGCGGGGAGTCCCATGGTGCCCGCGGTGCCCAGTCGGGGGGCGCGCCTCCCCCAGGGCCCAGCTGGCCCTCAGTCCGCACGCGAGGGGACCACGGCCGGACCCCCGACACCGCCGGCTCCACAGGTGTGGCGCTGGCTCGCCCTCCGCGCTGTGTCCGCGGTGCGCAAGACTACCCAACCGAGCTGGGACCCAGTCGATGGGCGGTTGCTCTGGTGGCGCGCAAAGGAGAGGCTGGCAAGCAGGAAGCTCAGCCGCGGACCCGCAGCGGTGCCGGGAAGCGAGCTAGCAGGCAAGATAGTGCGTCCACCGCCTCCCCGCCTCCTTGGCGGGTTCGCTCTCCGGCAACCTCTAGCGCCCTCTCACAGCAGCCTAGCCGCCCCTCCGGCGTCCGGGCCGCTCGAACGTGCTACCGATGACCTAATCCAGGACAGACCAATCAGAGCACCAGCCTCAGCCCGACCCCCCGGCCTCCCGGGGAAGCCCAGCCCTTCCGCGGCTTTAACCCAATCAGCGAGGAGTAGAGGCGGAGACTAAACATGGGGGCGGAGCTCACGCCACCGCCTAGGTCCGCAGCACAAGCTCCGCCCCCGATGCCCGTGAGGGGTTGCAGACCCCAAGCTTTAGGGCGAGTATGTGGCCGAACGAAGGCCACTCTCCCCCTCAGACCTTGTCTCAGAGCCTCAGCCCCAGACGATATTTTTCGAGACCTGGAGAGCAGAGGGGCATGGGTGAAAAAAACTAGGAATTAGGACTACAGTTCTCCTCAACCTCACACTGAACTGCTAGGCAATCGAACTTGCACTCAAAACGCGGCCCCCTGGCACAGGGCGTGATCCTGACTGTATCGAGCGAGAGACCCCGTAGACTTTAGGTACACGGCCCGGCTTCCAATTACAAAACATTTGTATCTTAGAATTACCACCTTTTCTTGCCTGCAGTCTTCCTGACCCCTACAGTCAGTCCCACTAGCGGCCACTCCTGCTCAAAACCCGCCCACTGCCGAAGGACCTACCATCATCGAGAGTATTTCAGCCCCTGCTGTTTTTCTGCCCGACACCTAGCACAATTTTACATAATTAAGACCCATCGCTTCTTGTCTTTCCCTATACGCTGAGCTTCACCAGTGCACCAGCCACCGCAGTTTCCTTGTGCACCACTGCATGCCCAACACCAAGCATAGCGACTGGCATTTAATAAGATACTCATGCTGCCCGTGTGCTAAGGTGATTGATAAATACTTACGTAATAAATGAATGGATCCTTTACCATGTCCCTCTCCACCTCTTACCCCCCATTCTTTTTCTGGGTAGTTCCAACACGGAACTCAAATCAGGCAGCTCACTCTGCCTGATACCAGTCTAGATCCCAGTGTCTAGTACTGAATTATGAATAAATTATCTGTACATCAAGGAACTAGCAGTCTTTCTTTAGTTAAATGGGGTGGGGGGGTGTAAATTTGCTATGTGTGGACACTAGGCTATCCTAGGAATAAAAAGATGATTAACACAGAATGAATTTGATTCATTATGGTAAGGGCGGAAAGGAAGCAAACAAGCAATAGCAATGCTGCAAAGTTAGAATAGGAGAAATCTGTGTGCATAAGCATATGGAGAAAGTGTTGCTTACTTAGGGGGCCAGAAGAAGTCCCTATGATAAGAAATTGATTTATAAAATGCAAAAGTGAGTGAATGACTATAGTTTAGTTTACTTGTTAATTAAATTTAGACTTAACACAGTAGGCCCAAACAGCAATCTAATGAATAATTAAAACCCTGAAAATATTCTTGGCCCTCACTGACCAAGGATGAGAAAGATCTCAACTAGAAACTTCTTGAGAGTAAATCTGTTTCATACTGTGTGAGTACTAAAAGGTAGGCATTCTATATCTCTACTGATACATAGCAAATCACACCAAAACTTAATGGCTTGAAACGAAAACCAATACTTTGTTTTCTTTTGTGTACTCTGGATTTGTTTTCTTTTGTGTACTCTGTGGATTAGGACGTTGGGAAGAATTTAGCTAGGTGATTTTGGTTTTGTATCTCTTGTATATCATTTGATAGATGGTGACAAGACCTGAAGGCTTGCTTAATCATGATGAGCATCTCTCTTCAGATGAGCTCAAGGTGCCCCCTATGGTCTCTCTATGTGGTCTAATTTAGGCTTCCTCACTGCATGGTGGCCTCAGAAACCCAGGTTCCAGCTCACTGAGGGAAAACTGTATCCTCTTTATGATCCAGCTTTAAAAGTAATATAATTCTACCACTTACATTAGCTTCACTGGCTTTGTTTCCCTCCCAAGAATTCCAGCAGAAATTACTAGACTGTAGCCAACAGAGAAGCGAGTCACAGCACACACAGATTCAAGAGGATACAAAGTAGGCTGTACCTCTAGATGGGGGAGTGACAAGAAAGAACAAGAGATACTGTTGTAGTCATTTCTGAAAACAGTTGGTTTGGGCGGGTCAGGCATATGGTAAGGTTTCAAAAAATGTTGCATAAATAAAGTAAGGTCCACATTATTTTGGTAACCTACTAAGGGAAACTGAGCCAATGTTTATAAAGTATAAAGTTATATACATATAACTTTATAAAGTATAAAGTTATATACATTACATACATACATATAATATATGTATATATGTATGTATGAATATATATATATATACACACCAATAATACTATATATTGGCTATCATTTGTTGAGTGCTTAGTTTGTATCAGATACTAAGATAAATAATTTCTTTACAAATATTCAATCCCCACAAGGTGAGATAGGTACTGATAATCCCCACTTTTCAGGTGACCAAGACCAAGTGAGATCCAGGGTTGTAATCTGAATAGGTTACCTAGCTAAGAAGTGTATAAGGCATACATATACACACAAACATATATCTTAATATACCTATTTACAGATACGTTAATATGGACAACAGGTAAATTTTCTATGAATATGATCCAGAATTTTCACAAAAGACTTTCAAATATCACTATCGACAAAAGAGAATCACAATGCATTGAGAACAGAAACTAATACATCTCTTTCCTCCTAGAAAATAAGCTCCATGAGGCAGAGATTTTGTGTTGCTCACTGCCACCATGAGAGTCCTGGCTCTCAGACAGCACAGTACTTCAAAGAAACATACCAAGGGAAGGGACAAGTGTCTAATAAGCACAAAACAATGACTCAATGGACAATACGGGTTGTTACCTTTGATGCAAATAGAAGAGTTAAATCCCAGAAATCACCTTCCTATGAAATATAAAAATAATTTAGGAAATCAAGCCTAAATTCTTTGGATTAATTCTGAATTCCACCAAATTACTCAAACACTAAACAGTTCTGTGTTAAGTATCACTGTATTTTATACTACTATTATTTCTTTACTTGTAGAGAATAGACTTTGATTGTCCAATTAACTTACAACTGCCACATAATTACTTCCCATTAGCAGAAAATAAGCACACTCATATATGTTATCTCTGAACACACATAATCAGAGGTTCATTGGTTCCTGAACAAGCTAGAGAACAGCTGATCCATGATGAGGGGCCACATGTAACTGAGAGCTGCCTCAGGGATTCAGACATCAGCACAAAATTTCTGCTTCCTTCCCGGCCTCCAACTGACCTTCCTCTGTGGGGCCTTCATTCTCAGTGGCTTTCTCTGTGTCTCCAAAATTATATCCAGCAATATTAGGAGTAAGAGTTTTCTTTCCAAGAATTCAAGAAGAAATCATTACTGGAGCCAAAGGAGAAACAGCCCCACTCCTAAAACATAAAACACTGGGGAGGCGTCATCCCCCAAAAGAACAAGCCAAGTGCTATTAACAGGAGAAAAGGGAATTGCTGCTGAATAGGCAGAAGCAATGACATGTAATGTACCTGACCAGTTCCCCAACCCCCTCAAAATGAATGCTCCTTCTGCTATTTTCCCCTGATTTTGTAATTCTAGCTAGCACCTATTCATTATTTTTTATAGTTGATACCATCTGTTTCTTACACAGTGAATTCTCCTTTGTATTATTAGTGGCTAAGACATCATCTTTCCTATTTTGAAATAATGGTTTTGGGGTGATGGAAATATTCTATATCTCAGTTCTGGTGAGGTTACAACGGAATGGACATTGTTCAAAATCCATGAGTATGTTCTGTTGTATATAAATTATAGCTCAATAAAGTTAATTTTAAAAAATAATTGGGTGGTATTGTCAATGGTGACAGTAAGCCTTTGCTGTCTAGTAGGATTTATGCTACATACTTTATTACATTTCTTCAGTTAATCTTTCCTAGAATCCTGAAAGTAGGTATTTTAGCAAAGGCTTACAGAGAGGATTACATAGTGGTAGAACTAGAATGTAAATCTATCTGTCTTAAATAATTATCTCCACAAGGCATCTACATGAAAGATATTTTTTAAATATCTAAAATCAATTTAATAATAGCCAAATACCTGAAAAAGGAATAAGATCACACATTAATAAGAAAAGAGATACCTCATTTTGAAGTGTATGTGCATTTGCAGGGCCTTCCACTAATTATATTTAAAAATATATCGATAATTAGATAAGCATCTAACTAGTTTTGGTTCTACATCCCGGGTCTCACAATTGTGTAGAAATGATTGAAGCAGACATGAAATCCTAACTTTTCTAAAAAAAGAAAGAAAGAACGAAAATCCAAGAGGCATGATCCATGGCTCTTTAGGAAAGGTAGAAAAATGTAGCATTTTTCTGCTTAAGGAATTAATGAAAATCTTATACTACACCGGTCTGTTCCATTTTTATTTCTATTCTTAGCAGCATTTTTATTTCTATTCTTATACATTTCATCTCTGCTACTTTTCTACCCAATATCCAATCTCCTCTCCTCCTTTCTTTTGTATTAAGGTACATAAAACATTTACTATGTTCCAGATACTTTTCTGAACACTTCGCAAAAAATAACTCAATCTCTTAACAACCCTATTATTATCAGATTGCCATTTTACAGAAGGAGAGGAAATTGAAAATGGATAAACAGAAGTCATGTAACCACTAGATGTAGAGCTGAGACCGAGATTCTAACTGGTAATCTAGCTCCCAGATGTAGACTATGTTCCTAACAGCACCCCAATATACCCAGCTAAAGAAATCACTTCCTTGGGCTTTCAAATAGCTGGTGTTGACCATGTGCCAATTTTCTGGCCATCGAAATATCACTGGAAATCTACTAGGTGGGAATGTGGAAAAGATTTTATTTTTTCAATAATGGGACAGTTGATACATTTTGCCCACTTTCCTTCCCTATTCTTTTTGTTCAGAATACGGGCGCTGTCCATAAAGAAGCAGCAACCATGAGTTAGCCATGACCGCTCCATGC